GCATAAAATATAACCTCTGCAAAGTTAGATGAGTAAACTTCAGTATGGAGAAGCTACCCAGAATTACAGTAGTAAATCTCGATCGAAATGCTTGAGATAAGATAAGAAAAAGCAAAATTTGCCAGGATTGCTGCAATGAACGTTAGAAGAAATTTTACATTGATTGTTTCAATACAAACACATATCTTGCCATCCGTTAGGTTCCGTATTGACTGCTATCGCTGTTTTGATAATCAAATTCATGAAAGGAAAATGGAAACAAAAAATCGAGTAGGCTGAAGATTTCGTATGCGTCAGAAAATCTCTCTGAATTGAAGAATACGCAGCCATCTACGAGCCACTATGACTGCATCTATACCAAGGTTTTCTATGGAATAAACCAGAAACTCTAAAAATGAATCACGTATGCGAGGAAAAAATGAAGGCATTAGGTGCAGGACACATACGTCCCGCGCTGTCCGTCATGGCCTGCAAAGTGCGGGACGTATGTGTCCTGCGCTGTCGTCAACGTGTTAAGAGCACAAGGCTGAGTGACTCTTAACTAATTATGAGTTTAAAGGACACCGTGGTGTATAAGGTTAAGCTAATCATTAGCAGTGTGGGTGGGCCCACGTATAGAATTCATGGTTCCTCAGAATTATCCTATGCTATGACAAATTGTCGAGAACAACCCTCAAGATGTTGTCGTCAAATCATTCAATGTTACGTCCTCGCACACTGCTGTATCAAATGATGCAGCGTTGGAGCTCGAGCACGAATACGCAGTAAACGTGTGCGAGTTTCCATTATAAAAATGATGACAGTACTACACAGGTGCCAAAGTGCTCAATCTTCAGGCGAGCTGACGAATATTATTAGGTCGGCCGAAAAGTGTCCGCAGTTTTGCACCTCAAGTGTTCCCCAGCATTTTTTGGTAAGCCTTTGCAAATATTCAAACAATATTAGTGTCGATAAGGAATCCTACGGGGATTGTATCCAAGAAATGAAGGGAGCTTACCACGAACAATAAATTACAGGTGTGGCATTAGAGGCTGAGTCTCTGAAGGCAGCAAACTCACGCTGGTGCATGATGTAGAGAAGGAGGAAAACCTCGTCAATCCATCCATTGATCGATCCCTCTAGCAACTTGAATAGCGCGTGTTGGGGTGTGCTCGGACTCTTTTTTACAAACATGTAGGGATCGTTTCAAGATGCGTAATAGTGTAGAATAAGACGCTTTTGCACGACAGCAATGAAAGGGTTACTAAATAGGCGGACGAAGTTTCAGCAAGTATTCCTTCCATGTAAAATGGCTTAGCTCATTGCAAGGTCCAAGAATTTAGCTATTCTGCCATGACGAACAATAGTCCTGGTCGAAAAGAATAGAAATAAAACATGAGAAAACTGACGGGTTGATTAGTTCTGCTATTTAGAAGCTTAAAGCGATACCCCAGGCAGAATCCGTGTGAGCGGTCCTCTTCGTCCTGTGAGGTAGTGCCCCAGCAGACAATCACGAACGTAACAGTCCCGTGCAACGAAAGCGCCCGAAAAAGGCGCTAGGGTCTTCTAAGCCAAGCTGCACGAGATGCACGGGCCGACTTGTCCGCAGCTGTGGGGTTCGCCGCAGCTGCGAGGCGAGTGTGCATGAAATGAGGGCCGCCCACATTGTTGCTTGTAGGGTCGTTGGGCGTTATTCCGATCAGATGATTCAGCAGTGCGCACAACGGCTGCTCTAGATTTCTTTTTACTGTCTTTTTTCTCGAACAGCATTTTACTCAGGCTGAAGTCCCTCTCTCTGATTAAAAGTTTATTTATTGAGTTATAGGTGAGATGGCTATATTTTCCGGTGTTTTGTACCAAATCGGATCTGGTCTGAGTCGTTCGATTCACGTGGTGAGTTCATCGGTTTTATTTTTCTTGCCTTTAACTTTTTCTTTGATTTGTTAGTTTGTTATATGGTGTCTGTTTTCTGTTTTACTGTTTTCCATTGCATGGTGGCCGTCGCTTAAACATACACCTCGAAAAAATGCAGGCCGAGTTTTTTGGTAGGCGGCTCACTTTTCACTTTTGAGAATCGGGACCGTGCTACAATCTCTCCCTAACACCATTTGATTTTGGTGCTCCCTTAGGCCTTGTTGTAAGATTAGTTAACTTCAAGTGCGGTTAGGAGTTAGCTGAGCTAAACGAAAGGGAAAGGTGAGAGATAATTGTTCACATGTGCTACATGTACATATTCTCTGCATAGAATGGAAATGCTAGAGTTCCAAACAGTCAATTGTCGATATTTATCTCATGTCAACGTTTTTTTCGCGTCACCTGAAACATTTCCGACAATTTCGCACTAATAATGAAACTCGTGAATCTGCTCCAAGAAGTAGAAAAAGAGTTTCGCTTGTTTTGACCCTTCTCTATCCTGGCATTTATAACAGGATAATCAGATCGGATTCGAGATACGCTTCGTTCGCGAATTATACTGAGTCATATCAGAGGGACATTTGTCCCTGTCCAAGGAGTTGCAGCCCCTGCAGGGATTAGATAGTTTTGCCACCGTCGTTTTGATTTCCAATTTGTCTTACGATTGGGGTGCGCCGTTACAACTTCCTGGGTAAAACAAAATCCTATGTAAAACAAATGCAATCCTTGAAGAGAACGTTTGCTCACTTTCGAGATTCGTCGGGGATTGACCGGAGTTTTCCATTGATGCCATCATTAAACATACTATGTTCTTTTCTAGTTCGACTAAGCTCCGAGCTGTTCCCTTCCCCCTTCTGAACCGTTCGAGCTCTCTCATCACACAATGGGCCCTATCCTAGGGAAATGATAGCACACGGTTCAATGTCTCCTCAGGCTGCATCTCAAAAAAGCGCTGAAACCAAGAGTCATGTTGTGAATGTTGTGGGGGGGGTGGGTCCCCGGCCGAGATACTGAACACTGAGGTTTGCGGACTCCAACAGGGTGTTTTAGGACGTGCTGGTCACTGGCCGGTTTTTGGTTTCAATTTTTTCTTCATTGTTTTCACTGTTTTAGATTGAGAGATTCGATAGAACAGTCAAATGATTTCGTAGTTATAGGGAATATAGAGAGCAAACAAATGGGTCACGAATACGAGTCTAAAATGATGGAAGACAATGACAAAATTATGAAAATCAGGGATTGTTGTGACCAGTGGGTCTGGGCAAAGAAACCTGCGGGCTGATCGAGTCCCAAACTTTCGCGACATTTAGCCTTGTGCTATCTCGTAGTACCTAGGTGAAAATGTTTTTTTTTTTAATTTATGTGTTTTGAACGATACAGTTTCTTCATTTTTCGGAGAGGTGTGGGTTCACCAGAACGAAAGCGACTTTTCCTCTCGTGCTAGACATTTTTCGCTGCAGCACCTCTAGGTCCACTCATGATCACGATGGACCTGTGGTTCCTGCACGAAAATTGCTTCGCGCAACGAAACGCGAAAAAGTCGCTCTTTGTTCTGGTGAACCACCATGCGGGTGAAATTATCGACAGAAGAACTCTTTTCCACTTTTTACACATGTAGAAGATAGCAACAAATGGTTCAAGAATTCTTTATAGGAAATCACTATAAAGAATCCCAGTATGTGCTATGATTGATGTGTTTGCTGTAAATCTTCGAGGTATCTTCGTACGGCATTCATTCCAAGTACTTTTCGGGAGGAGAATTCCAAGAAGAGCTGTGGTGGGAAATAGAGGTGGGAGCCTTACTGATGAGAACCTTACTCTGAACTTTGTTTTGTTTTCACCAATTGTTTTAGCTTCTTTTCAGTCAGTGCTATTGCTGTTCCTCTGTTATTTGCATGTCATCGTGAATATTCGATGCTGCCTGCGAAAAAACAACCGAAAGTGAGCGAGCGCATGGTTTGCATATACGATATTCATTGACTTCACATGTGCACTGGTATGGAAAGCCTTGCATTTCAGGTGGGATATATGGGATCTTCTTTTGCTCGTTCAGTAGAATCACGTCTGCTTGAATGGGACGAGATTCAAGATAGGAAGACTCATGACATTCTGAGCTAGAACTCCCTCTTTCAGTTTAGGTAGGTACAATATTTCCTATCACTTTTCTGTTTAGGGCGCAATTAATGTCTTTTATTGTAATTCTTATATACAAAACTAAGTTTGTGATTCCTTCTCCGCAAAAACTTTTAACCCTTGCCTTCAGGTCCGGCTGCTCGCTTTTTACCTTGGTTTCGACGTAGACGCAGACAAGACTACGCATCATTTTCTGTATAGCTGTTCAGAGGAGAGCGTACTTTCTGTCAGATGACGTTGTTGATATTAAAGTTGCTTTTTGTTCTTATGTTGTTTTATCCACCACTCTGGTGCATTTGCACCACACTCAAAAAAGTTATCCGTAAAGTTTGGAATGAACACTTGGGAACGATAGACTTTGTACCCCGAAAAAAATGCAGTAGGAGTTTTGCCTGGTGACCGTTCACTTTTGCGCCTAGTTCGTATTGGGGAACATGACCTTCGGTTCTCTGAAACCTTGCTTTATCACATCACTTATGAGTTGAAATGGAAATTTATTTCCTCTGAAAAATGTAGCGCTCTCAAAGAAGATGTCGTTGTGGCTGACGAGTTGTCATCGAAAAGCAGGCATGAAACAGCGTGGTTTGATCGGGTAACGACTTTCATGAAGGCAATAGTGGGAATTTGATGAACGCTTTCGGACCAGAGCTACAAGTCTGTTATGCAGTTCCTCAGTCTATGTCGGGTATACAACCATATTTCGTTATCAAAACGATGTTGTTACGTGCATTGCCAGGTTCAGCGGTTTACTAAGAAATAGGTTAGCTAGTGAATTGCAGCTCAGCTAGATCACATCACTGTCTTTTCATCGTGTGAATATTTCCACACTCGCCGCGCAGAATTCACTCCTACATTTTTTGAATGCGAATAAAGGCGACAGTCTACGACCGTGCTGCTTGAACAGTTGAAATAGTACGTATTACCATGAACAAATGCCCGTCACCATCCGCTCAAACTCTTGAACACTCGTTCATAAAAAATAAATGGTAGTATAATACTGTCTATTATATAAAGTAAGTAAAATAAGTATAATAAATAGTCAGTGTTATAAATAGTTAGTCACCGACTAGACCAAATAACAGGACTGAGATCTAACGAAGCAACTCTGAGTCAATTTCGATGAAAATTTCTTACTTTCTGAGTTTCCCACGGTCTGTTCACAACCAGAGAAATAGGAAATTTTGTTGCAGGAAGGAAGGAAAAATGAATGCTTAAAAAGAAACTTCTGAAAAAAGGAGCGCGTTCACCAACTAGTCAGCACAGGTCCTTCGATTCAGTTCATCAACCGCAAAAACCGTTTATTTTACCCCGCACAATCCAGCGAAAACCCAGCAGCAGAACTCAGCTGGATAAGACGGAACGATTCTTGGCATGGAGCCAGCAGTGGGCGGGCGTTGAGCCAGCGATGGCCGGCATGTTCGGAAAACTCGTCCGGTTGCACCTCCCCTTGAAGGTTAGGCGAGATGCTACTGGAAGAGTGGAGGTCCCTGTTTAGGCTTCATCGCGGGTTTTTTTCGCTGTTTCTTCCATTTCCATTCAACAATGCACACTCACATCCGTTATCGATCGCTCTTACCCCGCAAATCCGTGCCTGAGTTGTGCCTTTAAA